GGTTTGGTCCCAGCTGGGGCGCATAAAGAAGGCAACTGATCAATGTTTCTCTTGCACATCAATGTTCCTCTCCCTCCCTTTCTACCCCCTTCCCCTCTCTCTAAAAATAAATAAAATCTTTTAAAAATTAAAATAGATCTGGAGGTCATAAATATGTTTTAGGAAGTAGACCAATTCACAAATATGAAATTGTGAATAATAAGGATCATCAGTATTTCAAAAATGTTAAGGATGGCTCCGGGTCAGTGGCTCAGTTGGCTGGAGCATCATCTTGTACACCAAAAGGTTGCGGGTTCGATTCCCAGTCAGAGCACACACCTAGGTTGCGGGTTCGAGCCCCTATCAGGCACTGGGGAAGGTGACTGATCAATGTTTCTCTCTTCTCTCTCTCTCTCTCAAATCAATAAACATACCCTCGGGTGAGGATTAAAAAAAGAAGTGTTAATTATGAACCCCTAAATTCTCAGGGCTGCTGATGACCACTCTAATCAATATTCTGATTCTTGCCATTTTGATTTTTCCTGGAACACAGGAGAAAGGCGTGTGTGAATTTAGAGCTATCTATGAGTTAAGACTAAAGATCTGGGAACTCAGGTAAAGCTGCACTGTACTAAAGCAGTGTTTACAGCAGCCCCCTCTAGAACATTCTAGAACAGCCTGTCAAAGGGTGACTTGCGGCTCACTCTCTGATGGCAGGGGAGCCAGACTCTACAGTGATCATTCTGGCTGGAGCAAAGCGCCTCAGAGCCCCAGAGGTGGTGGGGCCAGCCATCAGCATGGGCACTGTCTGTATTGGTTTATGAAGGAACGGCAGGAAATAATGGCGTCTTGGGCCAGCCAGGTGTGGACACAGATGCGGCAAGCTTCGCCCAACGGTGTGAGACCAGAACGGTCTGGGCAGCCTGGTGCTTCAAATTCTTCAGGACAGTGATAAACTCCATGAGCTGCAAATCCCAGGGACCCCTTCAGGGCAAGTACCTATTTGGAATTGCAGACATGGGACTAATAGATTTTATTTAATATTTGAAAACACAGCTAGTCTCTGATCTAGGGGGAGAAAAGTCACAGAACTCAGTTCCTTCAGAATTCAATCTCCTAGCTGACTCACTAACTTCGTCAGAGATTTTCCTTGATCATTAAGGAGGCTAATCTGCTACTTAGAATTTGATTTTTAACCAATGTATGCTACACGCTGCCCAGGGGATATCGAATACTAGATTTTTTTTACACTTTCCTAATTTCTTTAATTTAATTTTTAAAAGATTGGCTTCACTTTTTTACTGTTTGTATTTATTTTTTTATTTTATTTTAATTTTTCAACTACAGTTGATATACAATATTGTGTTAGTTTCAAATATACACCCCAGTGCTTAGACATTATAGAACTTACTAAGTGATCATCTCAATAAATCTCATACTCATCTGACACCATACACAGTTATTACAGTATTAATTGATCATATTCCCTGTGCTATATTTTATGTCCCCATGACTATTCTGTAACTATCAATTCATATTTCTTAATCCCTTCCCCTTTTTCACTTATTCCCCAACCAACTCCCAAAAGATGGATTTTCCTTTTCAGAGTAGTTTTAGCTTCACAGCAAACCTGAGCGGAAAGGACACAGAGCTCCTGTGTCCCCCACCCGCCCCCTCACAACCTTGTCTACCGAATAGCCAGCCCAGAGTGGCTCCTCTGTCACAGTCCATGAACCTGCACACACACATCACTGTCCCTTCCAGTCCACAGGTCACAGCACTCACTCCTGACAGTGCACATTCCATGGGCTCTAATATATACCAACACGTATTCACCACCCCACAGAATGCACATAACATACAGAAGAGTGTCGCTGCCCTCAAAGTCCTTTGTGCCACCCCCCCCCAACCACTGACTGACCTTTTACTGTCTTCATAGCTCTGCCTTTTGCAGAATGTCATCAAGTTAGAATCACACGCTATGTAGCCTTTTCAGATTGACTAACCCCAAAAATGTAAGATCAGTTTCAATTAATAAGTCAATTACAATTCTGTGAGCAACTTGAGGTTTTGGTGACCATTGTATTCCCTGCACAGAGGAGGCGCTTAAATGTTTGTTGAAAGCATAAACCAACTTCTTTGATTTAAAAAAAAAGTCAGAACACTAGTGACAGTCATTAGAACTTAGTGTTATTTAAAAAAAAAAGAAATGATAATGACATTTACTCTGAACAAAGAACAGCTTGTAAACAATGAAGTCAAGGACTGGACATACATATATTTTGAAATGACTACCACAATAAACTTGGTTAACATCCATCCCTTCATATAGCTACAATTTTTTCTCCTGATGAGAACTTCTCAGGATTTACTCTCTTGGCAGCTTCCAAATGCACCACGCAATGGTGTGAAACACAGTCATCGTGTGCCCCTTACAGCCCAGCTTCCGAATCCTGACCATGTCTTCGGAAAAGAGGGGTCGTGCGACAGATGACGTGGTTTGGGCAAAATGATTTCTGCTCAGCTTTTTCAAGTTCTGTGTGTGGGGCTGCCCTCTGAGCACTCCCCAAATGTTCTGACACTCCTCTAGCTGCAGATGTCCACAGCGTTAGGGCAAAGCCAAATATAAGGACAGGATGACCTCATGGGCCCATTATGCCCGGTTCCTATTTCTGGGCCCTGGGATCATCCTTCCTTTCTTGACAACAGAGCTCCGCTGCTGAGTCATGTGTAACTGAACCCTCCTCTGCAGTTCATCCCGCTTCTTGCTGGAACCCAGAAAACCTAGACCAGGGGCGATGGCACCACCGGGGCAGGAGAGGGAAGTCGAGGTGGGAGGGAGGCATTCAGGAAATACAAAGACCGAAGGAAAAAAGTGAGCCTAGACAATGATTATGAGAGTTAAGTCAGGAGGAATTCAGGCATGGGTCTGCCTCGCTGCATAAAATTAAGGTGTTCACAAACTTGCATGTCAATCAGCTCATATTTCAACTGTAGGAGGGCAACTGACATTCAGGCCCTTATGGTGATGGTTTCTCTTCTATAGTGAAGCCTTGTCTGTAATGCTAATGCACACTTGCTAATTTAATTGTATTATATTGATATTTCTCTACGTTGGCTTCGAGAGAGCACTAGAGGTGACTCATTACAGCATTCTACCTAGCAGATGAGTAGGCAGAACAAATACATTTGAGGCTGAGTATGCAGTGAATCTGGACCTCTGACTATAATTGAAAATATAGAAATGTTGGTTGTCAGGGTGTTACCTGTGTCGATAGAAAAGGCCTTGTTATAAAAAGCGTTTTCAGGAAAATATTTCAAAGAGAAAGAATGGGATGCTCATTTGTAGCTGGGAGAAATTACCAAGGGAGATGGCTCCTTAGCATTATTGTGGCTACTACTTGACATCTTCTTCTTCCCCTGTAGATAGTATTCAGCTGGTCACAAAGGCCTCTGTAACAAAGACTACATTTGCCAGTCTCACTGGCAACTATGTGGGGACATGTGTAAATTCTGGCCAATAGGATGTTAGCAAGAATGTCAAGAGTAATTTCCAGGAATTGTCCTTAAAGGACTTCATGATCTCTTCCTCCCTTCTGGGGATGTGTTGCCAGGAGCTAAAGCAGCCACTTTAGACTACAAGCCAGCAAGCTAAGGATAACTGAGAAATCAAAGAGATGGATATGGGCTCCACCAAGGTCTTGGAGCTTCTCAAATAGCCTTTGACCCCTGTTTCTGGAAAAATAAAATTCTGTCTTGTTTAAACCACAGCTGCTTTGCATTTTTGTCACACATTTGAACCTAAGACTAATAGATCCAGCATTAAGGAAATGTTCATTTCATTTCATTGTAGCCTTTACTTCATTCAATTTCATGGATTTGTTAAACCCCTGCTATAGAGAAAGAGGTAAGGGCTCTTAACCTGAGGGTCCACAAACTTAGAGAAGGGAAATGTTCATCTTTACTTTACAACCTCTATTGGGATGTAGCATTTTGGTGATGACTACAGTATTAACAGTACCTGTGACTTTGTCATTAATAGATATTTTCACATCATAGTACATGTGTTATAGATATCTGAAAATATCACATATTTACTCCTATTTGAAATTAGGAAAGTTATTACACCTACTGCTAGATTTTATTATTTAATATGCTCATGAAGATAGAGACTGGTTCTCTAGGAAGCGGATTCTGAGGCAGAGTGTAGCGTGCAAGGTATTTAAGTAGTGTCCCCAGGACAGATAGCTGTGGAAGGAAGAGGAAGAAAGCAAGGTTGTGCAAAGGAAGTCAAACTGTGATGCAGGGCCAACACCAGCCTCGGCCAACCACGGGGGATCTCTGCAGCCAACACGGACCGTCAGAGTTGCCCCACGTTGAACGTTTACCACTGGGGCCAGCCGTTAGGTGTGGGCCTACCCTAGGCCCTCTTCCCTGAGGGGTCTGTGCCCTGTGGTCACCATGTCTTTCCCTGGTAAGCAAAATAATGGCCCCACCAAAGATGACCCTGTCCTAATCTCTGGAACCTGTGAATACGTTAGTTTATGTGGCAAAATGGACTTGGAAGCTGTGATGAAACTAAGAATCTTGAACTGGGGAGAGGACCCTGGATCATCTGGATGGCCCCAGTGTCATCACAGGACGAGAATGGAAACAGGGAGGCAGGAGCGTCAGTCAGAGATGTGACGAGGGAAGCAGAGGCTGGAGTAATGTGACTGCTGGCCAGGGGCCACAAACCAAGGAACGCAGGCCACGCCCAGAAGCTGGAACAGGCAAGGACTCGGATTCTCCTGCAAAGGCTTTGGGAGGAACACAGCCCTGCCTAACGCCCCATGAGTGAAGCTCAATGACATCCATTTTGGACTTCTGACCTCCAGAACTGGGAACCCTTGGTTCCCGCACCCGTGTATTCTTTTTTTTGTTTGGACTTGTATAAATTCTATAGGTATCCAGATCTTCTTTCTAATCCAGCCTGGGAAAACTTATATTAAAAAAAAAAAAATTGAAGTCCAGAGAAGTTAAGGAATTTGTCTGATGTCACACAGGATGGCTAAGATTAGGACCCAGTGCTTCTGAAAGCTCACTCAGCTCTTTCCCTATGGCATTCTACCTTCTGTGTTTCTGTATGTCAGGCATGGTGTGCTGAATTGGCCAGGAGACCTCTATTTCAGCAAGAGGGAGGAGCAGGAAAAACGGGAGGGGATGCATTTTCCTGGCTTGAGTTAGCAAGCCACTAACTATCTCCAGTGATGAAATTACCTGGAATGAACACTCGACTCAATATTACATATAGTTAAACGATGGATCTGCTTAAGATTGTTTTTCATTACCTCCATCTAATGTAGGCAGATGGGATCGTCAGTATCAGGAGACCACAGTGACACCAGGTCCCAGGCAGTTCTCATTGTCCTCTGTCTTAAAGGAACGAAAATGAGAAATTTCAATGGGGAACAGGGTTAATTTTACTGCTAAAGTTTATTTTACATATAGAAATAAGTGTGTAGCAAAAGGATTAATGGTGATAGGAAATAAGTTACTACTATTTATCATTTAATGGATGCCCCCTATTTGTGAGACACTGTGTAAGAAACTTCACAATACTAGCCTTAGCTGGTACAGTTCAGTGGATTGAGCGCAGGCCTGAAATTCAAAGGATTGCTGGTTTGATTCCCAGTCAGGGCACATGCCTGGGTTGCGGGCCAGGTCTCCAGTAGGGGGTGCCCAAGAGGCAACCACACATTGATGTTTCTCTCCTTCTCTTTCTCCCTCCCTTCCTCTCCCTCTAAAAATAAATAAAATCTTTTTAAAAACTTCACAATACTATATAAAATGTATTTTTAAAAGATATATATGTATGTATAAATACACGTATATTACTTAATATATATACATATATATACACACAAATATATATTAGTTAATCCCTTTTATCAGTCAGCTTTGCTGTAATAACAAACAACCCTCAAAATTTCAGTGACTCACTCAGTACATGTCTACTTATTGCTCATGTTATGCATGTTAAATGTACTTCTTGTGTTTTTCATCCTGGGGCCTCAGCCTCAGGAGCGTGCCATTCTGGTTGGTGGAAGAGATGAGTAAAAGTGGCAGAAACTTGCAATGCCTCTCAGAGCTTCTGCTGGGACAAGTCTGTATCACGCCCGTCATTTCTAGTTGCCATAGACCGTCATGTGACCAGGCCAAATCAGTGGAGGAGTGGGGTGCGGGCAGTCCTGATCACATGGTAACAGAAGAGGACACATGCTGCCCACACAGGAAAGGGGGTAAGGAAACACTGGGGACAACAATGAAGTGTAAAGCAATAAAACAAGATTAATATTAACCCTCTCTCCACTTTTGAGAGAAGATGAGTAACTGCTAATCTCCTCCTAGAGCTTGAAAACATCCCTTACAGTTGGGGTGACTAGGTTTTGATAAAATGTAACCTAGGGTTTGAAGGTTAGTAGGATAGGTACATGGAGAAAAAGCAAGGACTTTGTAAACAGAGGAAAACCCCAGAGTACAGGTGGGGAAGAATTCCAGTCAAATAAGCTAAGTTAGCCACAGAGTAGATAGATGAGAGGGAAAAGGGGAGTGGACAGAGGCTCCACCGAGGGGCTGGGGTAGGGTGGGGATCTGGGTGTTGAATACCGAGGAGTTGACGGCTGAGGAGTTTAACTTCACTTAGGGGTCAGTTAGAAGGCTTTAGCTATCTTAGAAAAAGAGACTGTCAGGATTAAATGCTTGCTTCTGAAGAGTGATCAGATTAGGGGGTTCAGGGTGGGCTGATATACAAACGGAGAACAGGGAGACCAGTGATGTCACTACATGTCCAGAAGCAAGGTAAAAGTCTTTAACTTAATGAAGGATGGTGGCCGTTAGAGCAACAACAAGGTCAATTCCAGAGACTTAGAACCTATGGCTTTAGAAATTTGCTCCTCTCCCAAAAAAGAAATTTGCCCCATCTCTATCATCCACCCAGTACTCCCAATAATAACATAGTAATTAAACCCATGTGAATAAATCATTTTCAATAACCTGACTTTTGTATTAATCTATAACATACAGTATTGATTTTTTAAAAGAATATAAGGCCTAGGCAAATTAAAGCTTCAAGACAAGTTCCCATTCCCCTTGGACAAGATGGTTGTCCCCAGACCCCCATACCTATAAAGCCTCCCCAGGCAGGGCTTAAATTAGATATCAGGGAGACCAAGGTAAGGCCTGTTAAAGAGAAAAATTCCATGGAGTACATTTTAAAGATCTAATTGGCTTTGATGAGTGATTCATCAATCACGAAGCATCCCATCTAGTAAGTAAAGAGGAGCACTGAGAATTTGTACAAAATGGAAGGTTTCTATAGACCGAAACTGGGCAGAACAAGAAAGTTATTATCAAAAAAAAGAATTCTTTCAGGAACAGGGTACCTTTCTTTTGTGGGGATGGTGGCAAGGGTTTTATTAGGCAGATTACCTTATTAGTGTTGATCAGGAAATTCCAGACTAGTTGGTAGTTTAAAATTCCACTCTTGGGAGAGGCTGAAACTACAATTAGGTCAGGTATTAACTTTTAGTTTCGGTGAAGCATCTTAGCACAAGTGACTCCATTTTGGGCCTGTGGTCTCTTTCTTGACAGACGGAAGCTGGTAACTAGGTGACTGGGAAAATGAAAGGTTCTGGTCAGTCTGAGGTGTGTTATGCAGGTGAGACTCTCCAATGGGCACTTAGGAATTCAAGTCTCAACTCTACTTACAGTATAATGGTGTGACAACAAATGAGAAAAAATAGCTATGTATGTGAAAATGCCTTATAAGGTGATTAGCGCCATTTGAGCCTTTGTCTAATTTAACATTTTATTATCGGGTCACTTAGATTAATAATAGATTCGAGAATATTCCTTGTTAAAAAAACACTACTATATTACAACTGAATTAGTCTGTTTTAAGAGGATTTGCTAAGGAAAGCATTACCCTTGGTCAATAACAACAACAACAAAAAAGGTAGACAGAAAGCAGGCTTAAATGAAGCAAGCCCAAGGAAACTCATCTCCAACAAGGAGACCAATTTGGGAGACTCGGGGAAGGGTCAGCGTGCCCGCCAATGAGAGCAGGCCGAACCCGAACCCGGGGATGGCTTTAAGGTCCAGGTGGACGGATGGAGGAGCCGCCATGTGGAAATTCACCCAAGACGTTTCCGAGACAGGACATCACCCCAGGAGGACAAGAAGGAAAAGAACAGAACAGCAGACCTGGCGGAAGGACACGCATCATCTTCCTATACCAACTGGCAACCAAGCCTCCCTCCCAGGGAGGCGACCCCTCAGATAAAACAAAGGCTCCAGCCGTGGGAGGAGACCCAGGTGCGCGTGCGCCACAGAACGCGCTTGCGCACGGCGGTCAGTGCGGTGGCCTGAGTCTAGGGGTGGGAAAAGGCAGGCTGGGAAGGGAAGCGCTGGGAGGGGCGAGCAGGGAGGCGGGAGACAGCCAAGTGTGGGGCGCTCTTGCACGCCCACTGGTGGCAGGAGGAAAAGACGCCCGCGGAAGCCTCTCTGTCCGCCTCTGCTGGGGAGGCTCGCGCTCCCGCAGCTCGCGCTTGCGCCAGCCACCCGCCAGTCTCGGGAGCGCTCTCTCTTGCTGGTGCGCGAGCTCGCCGTCTCCGCCACCCACCCGCTCCGGCACCAGCTCCGGCACCGGCAGCAGCACCGCCGCCACCGCCCACCTTCAGCCGACACCACTGACACTGCCACCACCACCGCCACCACAGACACTTTCTCCTCTGCTTTCCTCTACTGTCTTCGCCCTCTGTCGACCATCAGGTAAGCAAGCTCAAGGCTCTGAAATGTGCCTCCCTGCACGCCCTATGCGCCTGCAGACCTCCGCCCCTCGGCCCCCCACCTCAGAGATGGCTTTCGTGAGGTGGGCTTTGGTGAGAGGCAACGGCGTGGGGGGCACTCCCTGTGCTCTCTGCGTTCCGGGGTGGGTCTTGGGGGGCTTGGAAAGGGACCCATGCAGAGGATGCACACACGCGTGTATGTGTGTGCGCGGATGTGTGCTGGAGGTTCCACACGACCCTCTTCGCGAGGACACGGGCAGAGGTTTGTGCCTGCAGGGTGGGGCACAGATGGCGGTGACCTGGGGGAGGGGGCTGTCATGCACTGTAGATCGCCGCCTTTTGCCGCAATGGGCATGTATGTCTATGTGTGTGGGGGGGGGTCCAATGACGACCCCCCAAACCGAACCTTTAATCCGTTTTCTCTGTCTCAGTTTGCCATCAGCCTTAAGGAAGGTATGGATCGGGTTCTAGAAGACATGACTCCCTGCCTGCCCCTCCCTTCACCTCCCCGGTAGCGATTCCAATGGGGCTTTCGCTGCCCCTGATTTAAGGCGGTGGTCCATCCCCCACCCCCATTTTCCTCCTTCAGAAACCCGCAGGGGACATTTGGGGGCTGGGAGTGGAATCGAGGAGATGGGGAGGGGTCCAGGCACTGTCACTTCAGTTGCCCTTCCCCCTGCGCGCGCCTGGCACCGAGACGCAAGCAGCGCCGTGCCCGAGAGAAGGTATGCGCGGATGCCAGTGTGGAGGTTCGGGAAGGCAGGGATCACCTGGCCTGAGACGTGGAAGGTCTCAGCAGCGGCTGACCCCTGCTCGCAGGTGCTCCCAGCCGCAGACTGGCGCGGGGGGGGGGCTGCAGGTGCACTTCAGGCAGGCCCCTTTCTCTTCGCTCTGCGCCGAGAGTCCGGCTTGTGCGCTCCCTACCGGAGGCACGGTGCTGGCGCGCAGGGCTCGCCCCTCACTGCGGCAGTGGGTGTGGACCCGGGTGGGCGAGGAGGGGGAGGGTAAGCTGTGCCTCCTCCCACTCCCACCCCCGCTTTTTTTCCCCTCCGAACGCGAGGTGCCATCTTTTTGCGGTGTGTCACGTCTTTACGGTGCCATGCCAAGCCGGGCAACTGGGCTTTGGAGCACAAGGCGGGGCTGTTATTAAGGGGGTGGGGGTAGGGGACAATCGGCGCTGAAATCTTGGCGTTTTGCTGCTACAGGGTTGAGCCCTGGGAGCGTCCACCTAGGATCTTCCTGAGGGTTCACTGCTTTGTTTGTAGGGCTAACGAGATCTGTGATGCCGGCCTGGTCTTTTGCCTTGAATTCTATAAGGGTGTTTAACCAAGGCCCCCACTCTTCTACCCGTGTTTCGCCCCTCATTTCCGAACCCTTTGTTAGATCTCAGGGCTTTCTGGGGTCGATGAACCCGAATCACGGCCCTAGAGTCATGCGTGAAACGGGTGTGACACTGGGTGGCCCCCTCCCGGAGCTGGGCCGCGCGCCAGGAAGCATCCTCAGCTGACCGGGTGGGATTCCAGGTCTCCGAGCGCTGCGCTGGTGTCTGCCGAAGGACTACGCCCCACCCCACACCCTGAGCGTCCTGGTGGCCACGCCCCACCAGTCTGCCCATTAGGGGCATCGAGGACCCTCGGGAGATACAGGACTGGGGGCTCGCAGGCGGAGCCTCTCTCTGCTTCGTGCCCTGTTGCTTCTCGAGGCGGGAAAATGGGAGGAAGGGGCATAAATTTTCTTCTGATGCTCCGAGCTACACCCATCCCTCCTCCACCACCCCCAGCAGACTAGGACAGGGGTGCCGAGGGGTGGTTGCCTTGGAAACCACGCGTCTTGAGAACGGCCTTTGGGCGTGGCCATGCCCCTTACAAGCGGAGATTAAGAACCTTGGGGTACGAGGAGCCGCGCCCCCTGGGGGACTCTGCTGGGAAGCCCCAACCTCCAACGGGTAGCTCTTCCTAACTGGCTTCCTGTGGCTACAGCCACCCAGATACACGACCCTGAGATATTTGTGGCCAAGTACTGTTTTAGAAACCTGCAGCATTTTCACTTAAGAGCCGGAGTTCACTGCCGCCCTTGAAACTGGGAAGGAGGGGAGAAGGGTGGCTACCGACCCCCGGCTTGCCCTCCTGTGATGAGCTGGGTTTGAGCGGCTTTCTGTTAAATCTATCGCTGAAAATTGGCGCGGAGCGCAGAGAGCATTTTAGGGGCCAAATCATCCCCTGGACCGCGCATACTGACTGAATATCCGGGGAATGGCTCTGCTCGGAGTCTAAAAGTCCACTCGGGGCCAGGGTGAACCTTCCCGACAATGGTGCGGGCCAGGGGTGTCAAACTCATTTTCACCGGGGGCCCCATCAGCCTTGCGGTTGCCTTCAAAGGGCAGAAATAATTTTAGGATTATGTAAATGTAACTACTCGTTAACTGTTAAGGAGTTAACATTACATTCGGCCCTTTGAAGACAACCGTGAGGCTGATGTGGCCTCCGGTGAAAATGAGTTTGACAGCCCTGGACACTGTAGGCAATTGGAGCCACGGACCTGCGACACCCCCGCCCCCACCCCGGCCTCGCCCCCACTTCCCTGGACCCGCTGCAGGCAGGTTGTGGGAGACTCAAGGATCCATTCGAGCTGCTTCTCCCTTTCATTGACATCCCACATCGGCCTGGAGCTGGGCGTGGGATTCTGGTTCCAGACAGGGTCTCCGGACACCCGTGGCCTTGGATGGTCCGCAGGCAGAGAGGTCCCCTGTAGGTTGGGGGGAGCGTATTTAGCCCAATGCCCAGAACCAAGTGCAGTCCACACGTCCCTGATTTCGCTCCATGTTGAAATCTGTTTGGTGGGGCACTTGGGTTCACAAGGGGGCTGTTAATCGAGGATCCCGGGTACAGAGCCTTGGTCCTTTGTATTCGGATGCAGAAATCCCATGCCTAGCTCTGCGCTCTGGGATCTAGAGGGATGCAGTGTTTATACCCACACAGAGACGGTGGAGCGCCGAGCCTGCCGCGGTGCCTCGGGGAAAGGTCCTGTCTCGGAATCCCCAGCATCTGGGGGCTGTTTACGCCCCGCTCAGCCTCGGGCGCTCAGGAACCTGTAACTGCAAGCCCCGTTGGTCCAGACTGCCTGATCTACCCCTGCAGGCGCCGCGCGCTTAGGCTCAGCAGGAGGCCTTGAGTTTTATCTGATCCCTGTCTCTCCAATTGACCCGACGACCTACAACAGAATGAGAAATGCCTTTCCTACCATAATCAGTTAAGGCATTATTTTACCTTTTATGATGCTGCTTGTGTTTACTTATTACTGCTTATAAGTAATGTAAGAATTACTTATGCATTTCCCTATCTACAAACCCTTCCTCTGAACAATTAATTAAGCACGTGCATACACCCCACTGCAGGCACCCACCCCCGATTGACTCCAGAAGCTAGTCAATTCCTTGACCAGCGTTTGCTTCTTGTAACAGGTTGTGTTTGCTGCAGTAACCTGGCTTGACTCCTTGGGTTTGTTTTTCGCTTGGACGATTTGGGGGAGGGGTTTGTTGACTTTGCTGTTCTTTTGAATGAGTGGCAGTCTGTGATGTGTAACCCTAACCCCACGTGGACCTCATCTGCACAGGCCAGTCATGGGAGGGCGGGGCTTTTCAGCGGTTTCTAGTATCAGACGCCCCTCCCCTGAGGGATTGAAAGAAATGGATTATTCCCACAGATTGCAAGAAGAAAATTTAGAATCGATTTCTTTGAGGGAGGGTCAGACTTACATTTGGAAAAGAGCCCCTTCTATTGAACATGCCCTTTGACCCACATACCCTTTGAGGTCAGTGCCTGCCTGCAGATGGAATAGGATTGTGGTGCTTTTTGTTTAGGTTGAAATTTTCTTAGCCCTTTTAACATCAGTTCATGAAGGCCATTTGTGGAAACTTTTAGAAATTGTGTTTTATTCTGCCTCCCCTCAGCGTTTGTCTTCAGTATAAGTGGCTCCATAGCTGTGGGTGTGAATGAATATGTGTCAGTTTTCTGATGGAACACACGATCGTTTTCCAACTAGATTGTGCCTTCTATTTAATTAGTCTCTTCCTCACACCCATTTTGAAAAAGATGCCTCAAAAACAAATAAAAACACTCCTAGGGGCTTCATAAACTTCTCGACATATAGTAGGCATTTCTGCCCATACTTATTTAACAAACAAATGGATAAAATGGGAAAATATAGGTCAATAGGTAAGGAAGAAAAAGCAGAATGGGAAGAGGGCTTTATTCAAGATCATGGCATCAGGAAGGTTTGGGGACAAATCCAATCATTTGACCCCGACCCTGTACACAAATGACACCCAGAAAGCTGCCCGTGCCCTTCCGTAGGCCTCCGCGCCCTCCACTCCCCGGCTTCCCCGGACCTCCAGCCTTCCCACTGCAGCACTCACTGCTTATGGCCCCACAGTCTGGCCCCTCTGATCGCCAAAGAAGAGAGGAAACGGGAGAAACCACACTTCACAGCAGGAGGAGGGAGACCTGCCCTGTCACCTTGAGAGCTGCAG